GGGCATGGGTCGGTCTTACAATTATGGTTAAAGAGCTTCCGACCAGGATAGTTCCGTTTTGTTTGTTTTTCAAATTCTGGTTTCGATCACATTCCAAAATATAACCCTTTTTGCGTATAGCATTTAAAAAAACGCTGCCTGTAAAGGAAATGTCTAATATTCTAGATAGTACAGATGGCGTATTTTCATTGCTTCATCACTTCAAGCTAATGTTGAACAAAGAAACCAACTGTTCAATAGGGAAAAATTTGTTAGTCAGTAAGCCATTAGCGTAATTACGCTTTTAAATATTAGTAGTATTATGTTAAGGTATAGTGGCTAGAACGTCTAAGTGTATTTATTTAAGATTAAGTGTCCAAAGTCGTTGCTATATATCCGCTGTCGTTCAGAACTTTTTTTGGTTAGGGTTGTTCAATCAATTTCAGGACAATGGGGGACTCAGTGGGTACATAAGTTATGATGCTACATTGTTGATGTGTGTGTTGCACTACCAGTTTATCAATAATAAAAAAAGACTTCTGAAATGTTCAGTTCTTGTCAGGCAATAGCTGGTGGAAAATTGTTTTTCTCCTTTCAATCCTTTACTTTTCCTGGGAGGTGTAACTTTCAGATCAACGGGAGCTGTGGACACAGTTTACAGAAGAACTAACTTAAAGCGCCTCTTTATTTCAGAGTTATGTGCAGCTGATTTTAGAGTCTCGGTGTAAGCGGTGAACTGATCTCTCTCTGTACAGAAGGTTACGAAATCACGACAAAACTTTTGGAAAAATGCTGATCCGCGTGATAGACGATTAATGGGTAAACTGAAAGGTGGAGCGGAGAAATAGTCGTTGAGAGTTGAGCTGCGTTAATAATGCAATCATATGTTCTTGCCCATGATTTAACCAGATGATTCTTAACTTAACCTCTGAAAAAGGTCAGGTAAAGGATTAGCTTGTAGCGTAGTAAAGACTGGCCAGAGTGTATTTACTATCTTGAGGCTAGTGAATGGCATTTACTTTAGCCATATGAAAATGGCCTCATAGAACCCATTCGAGTATAATGGGTTAACTCAATACCTCAACATTGAGGGTGTGCTTGACACTGGCTGCTAGATTGTCGTTGATTGCATCGGTTTGACAACGCACGCCAGTCCACTGGCAGAGAGCAGGCAGGGTGGAAAATCAAAGTTTGTAAACACTGTGGGTTAAACATGGAAACTAAAGTGATGTTCAACTGTCACTGGAGAATTAATATTTATATATTTTGTTTTGTGTATCTAATTATTTCTGCATCTGTTTGGCCTGGGAAGAGAATTCGAGCAGAGAGGCTACAGGGTGCGTTCTGGGGTGAGATACAGTCTCACATCAACCATGTAGGGCGCTCTTTATGGGGCTGCAGGGTGACCACATCAAAGGGGCCCTCCCCACCAGGTTGTGCTGGTACAAATTGGAGCGGACTCACACTTGACTGCGGGTCCCAGTCCAACAGGGGAGGAGAACAGGTTTAGTGATCGACAGAAAGAGGGAGGGACTCAGGCAGGAAAGGGTGGGTTGAAAAAGGGGAGAGCCATGGCTGAGTTGAGGAGACACTGAAACTATTGTTTAGAGAAAGAAGAAAGGGAAGATGATCAGTTGAACGGTCCAACATGGGCGCGCTCTTTTGCTGGCAAGGAAAAATGCTTGTGATTTTTGACCTTGAGGTTATGGGTTCTCAGTCTCACTTGTAGGTTTCTCCTTTGCACTTGGAAATGGGTTTGGATGAAACGAGGGATTGTGATCTGGGCACGTATTATGCTAGATGGCACGAGAATCGATACATTAAAGCAGCGTTTTTTATTTTGTAAAGGTTACCAGTAAAGGTCTGGTTGAGGAGTTATTTTACTTCTTCATGTAGAGTGCTTGGTTAATGTTTTACGGCCATGTGTCATCAATATTGGTCGTGTCTTTGCGTCTTTTATCAATTAGTATGAAGTAACTCGGTAAATGTAACATTCCTTAAACTGGATAATGTATTACTTAAGAGGTTTATGATTTTTTTTACCTTATGTATAAGGTGTTTTTGCTTTAAAAGTTGCACCATAGTAAAAATAATTGCTACCATTATGGTTGCAGTAACACTTTCACGTTTGATACATTAATCTTTTATGTTTCATTTAAGAAAAAGCTTTTTAAAGGTCTTGGAATTACATAATTTTATTTCCAAGATATGTATTATTTTTGAACTATGTTTTTGAGTCCACTTTGGTTTCTTTGGTTCAAAAGGACTTTAACTTTATCTGCTGCTGGTTCATTACAGAAGTAAGTTCAATTTGAAAAGTTCTTCAAGGGTTCAACAAACACTGTTAAACGAAAAAGGACAAGAAATTAGTCTGGAACTTCTGTATTTGTAGTCGTATTCCGCACTTTTGATCCAACATCAGTCTACTTCTGTGAGAATTTTTCTGGGTCTCTTGGGTCAGCTCAGAGGCCCAATCATGCTGTCTTGGTTCTGCTCTAAATCATTCAATTTAATTTTAACGTTTAGCTTTAAAGACTGGTTTTTTTGATGTATATGGTATTTTTTAAAAATGTTGAAAATTTTTCTTACCTTTTCCAAATGCCAAAATTGTGCATGTTTCTTCTCTGGATTCTTAGTCATTAAAATCAGAAACCAGCAAGGAGAAAGGATTTTCATTTGTACTTTGATTCATGGACGAGTAAAGTGGGAGGATAGAGCTGTATTATCGTCTATCTTTATTGGGGAGTATGCGGGAGAAAGGAAGTTGAAATCAAAGGAGATAAGGCGGTAATAAAAACTGAACAGCAGAATGGGCTTCGTATTTGGTCAGGTTTAATGGGAAATGTTTTTGGGGTAGTGCTGGCTGACGGATGTAATAAACCCCTCAATTGTTAAATCACAATTTCGTTGACCTTGTTCTATCGTATGGCAGTTGATATTGAACATTTAATAGTCTTCCCACAAAATGACTTTTTCTATCTGACCATTAATAACTTTTAAATGTCTACTTACTAGATTTAAACCATTACGGCAACATTCCTACAGCAGATGTCTATGGACATGCTGGTAGTAATTTTAAGGAGGAGATTTATTCAGTGTTGTAACAAGTGTGAATTATAACAGAGATCCTATAATAACTAGTCCTCCAATTGATTATCATCTCGTAATAGTGTTGCAGGCCTCAGCACACCAACACTAGATTCTATTGTGCGCCTATCAAAAGCGAAATATTAAGAACCTAGGGGGAGGCTAACGTCATTGGTACAGACAAACCCACATGTAACAACCTTAGTTACTATTAGGGAGACTGACATGATCACAAAATTCCTCAACAGGTATCACTGCTCTCCAAATTTCAGTAACTTATATGTTAAAATCAATTATATTCTAACTGTTTTGTTGCCATCGATCTTCATCAGTTAACTTCAATAATTTTTACATTGAAGCCATCGTAGTGTAATTTAAGCCCTTCTTAAAAGGGGCCCAACTCTTGACCAGGGGATTTAGCCACTATTAGACCCCTTTCGTAACCTCACTTCCTTTCTAGGGATTCTGGAGAAGTAGTCGGTAACAGTGGTTGTGACTTTCTACGTAGCAACAGTGTTTATTTTGAGGATGTTCAGTCAGGTTTAGACGTTACATCACAACAGGGAAGACAGCACTTTGGTTGGGAATGTTGAATAAACGACCTTTAATTGCTCCGGTCAATCGGACATGTCTCTGTAAAACCCTTGTACTTGTTAGGATCTTTAGTACTGACGATGGAGATCCTATTTATCAGGATTCGTTCCATTTTTGTACCACGTTACGATGAAATCCTCCATAAACCATTTTAAAGTTAGTCATGGGAGTTCCACAAGGGTTCTGTGGCTTGGGACCAGATTCTCATTCAACTTTATATATATTTCGTCTCTAGGCGAGGACATTATTAGGACTCACTCGCATTTCACTTTCAGGCTTGTTATTGCAGATGGATACCCAGTTATATCTTCAATCAAACCAAGAAATTAATCAGTTATTCGATTCAAGCATTTCTTAACGACATGAAACAGCCTGAACTCAGAAAAAACTGGAAGTTCTTGTACTTGGCCCAAAAGATATAGTTACTCTAGATGGTATTACCTTGGCCTCCAGCACCACTTTTTCTCAGGAATCTTTTTGTTGAGTGGTATCTTGATCAGGATTGGCCTTTTAATTCCGCACATAAAGCCAAACCTCTCTTTCATTTCTAGGTCATTACGAAAAATTAGACACACTCCTGTCAGAGACGGGGATGCAGAAAAAGCTAACTCGGATGCATTTGTTATTTCTAGGCTGAGGTAGGTTTTTTTTTGTCATCTAGGTTACTGCAATCCTTATTATCGGTTGCCGCCAATAGATCCGTTAAGACGCTGGCATTTTTTCAGAACAGCTGGCCAGCCACGAGTACTGACACGGGAAACTAGGAAGAAAAATCATATGTTCTCTCCTGCTATTGCTTTCTCTGCACAGCGCTCCTGTGAAAAATCCTCCTCATCACCTACAAGCCTTGCAGGTGACCAGGCCCCTTCATATCTTTAAGAGTCCATAGGACCGCTGATTACCCCCGGCCTTAGAACTCTGCGTTCAGGTGATTTCCTGAAACCATCCCTTAGGGTTAGCTGCTACTAGGCCTACGCACTTAGTCGGGGGGATTTCCCATGGGTGCACTGAGCTCCTCTCTTCCTCTCTCTCTTTCTGCCCACTCATGTCATGTCCATTATGCACCTGATAAAGCTTCCTTCTTTCCCCATGAGTTCTTGTGCTTTCTTGTGGTCGGGAGAGGTTCCATGGATCCTGTGGAGCCCCACTGATAATAGTTACTCGGTATTATTATTATTATTCATTATTATTATTATTATCAACTACAGCTTACGATATTAGTTACATCCGATTATAATTTTCTATTTATCCCCATCGGATGTGGCTGTTGTCGTCATTCATCTTCTTCATGTTTTATCATTCATGATTACCATCAGTCACTACTATAGTGTAGTTTGTTGCTACTGGTTGTTGCTGTGCACTTGGTCGTTGGTCTCGTCCTTCTTGTCGTTTACTGCAGTATTGTCCCATTCACGGTATCTGGGTTATGTATTAGGTGTTTTCAGTTGTTCTGTGCTGGTTCTCGTTACACATTGATGTGAAATAGCCATAATAAGTCATCGGTTTCAACAGATGATCGGAAAGTGGTCTTTAAAGAAGAAACGATCTGTTGGGCCACTGGTATTGTACAATGGTCTGACCGCCCACCTCTCTCACACCAACATTACATGAAACTTGTGTTTGGTGATATCTTTATTGTTGGCATGAGAAGATCAGCTCAAAAATGACCAAAACAGTATTGACAGTTTTTGATAATCACCAGCTACATAATACTGCCAGGTCCAAATGAAAACCACAGCAAATCCCCAGCACTTGCAAATTGAGTAGCAAAGCAGCTGATTTGTTATTCATGTTTACATCAAAATGGTTTGTGCTCACAGGACATATTTTAGACTACCAATCAGCTTGAGAAGGAAGACTTCTGATGAGTGCACAAAAAGGCAGTGCAATTCTCTGACTATGGGAGTTGGTTTGTAACGGGGGGGTTGCTCACCTGCTCTCTCCAGTAAATTAAAGTTCGCAAGTTTCAGAGTGTATGGACCTCAGAAGCGTCCTTTCTGTGGCCGGATCAGCGTGAATCTGTGTGTCGCCCTGGCTCAGGGTGGCCAAACCCATGATCCCAGAAGTCGTCACCCAATGCATTCATAGTCCATCATCCCAGACTTCATCTTCAAAGACCGAACGTTCGTCGTCCACCTATCATAAAAGAGTTATTTATAAATATGATTAACATAAAAATATTATTAATAATCTTACAACGTGTGAGTTCTATAAGTAAGGAGACAATGGTTCATGACATGGTTCTGTACACACAGGGATAGATCTTGTGAGTCCTAGTCTAAGGATATGTCTGGAGACGGATCGTATCAGTGCTGGATAGGACCCTCAGGTATAGTAAAACGTTTAATAGCGCCTTCTCCCGATTTTTGGACCTCCCGTTGTCTCCCTTCCCTCAGGCTCAGTCAATTTTAAGACCATGGGATGTATTAGGATAACTGGAAACTGATTTGCAAAGATGAGTGCCCATCCGTTTGTGATGAATAATGCACTCTCATTTCCGGCTGTTTTTCCTGTGTGGGGGTTGAATGGGATAGGATAGATTTTTATAGCTAGATTATTGTAAGACTCAAATGGAGTAATGTGTGGGTGCACCTTTTTGTAGACTTTATTGTGCTGTTTGTGCATCATGGTGATGATCCAGAAGGTTGCTGATACTGAGCTTACGCGGGCTTTCCTTGATATTTTTGATTTATGATGTTTCATTTGTCACAGGGAGTTTTTTCAGCATGATGGCACAAGGATTGGTGTTATTTAGAACACATTTCTTTCGTCATTTTTCGTAACTGGCCAGTAGACAAGTTGAGTCTCTAGTCTACAGCATAAAAAGGTATGTGTCAAAGCGGTTACTTTTTAGGATGAAGAAATGTTATAACGGTCGTGGTCTCACATCGAAAGTCTGGAGACAATGACAAATTTACTGACCTCCCCAGTATCATAAACGGCGCTTCCACCAAGGGGTCGTTTGAGCGGATCATATGAGTCCTGCGATGGTGGGGACCGTACCACATCTTAGCATAGCTGTGAATAGTAGAACACAAGGAAAAACAACTGGTGAATTAATATTGTTGTTTGGCAGACCACCTTCAGATCTCAAATATTGGCCTTGTTTTACTCACCTGTCCGTCGGGTCAATTAAATCTCCTTTCAGATTCCATCCTCTGATGATGGTCACCACCAGTGTTCCCCTTGAGGCCTGTTTAGGACAGCAGTTTGACCCACAACCTGGTGATGACTTATTTGTGGCATTGTCTTCTAAGTATTGCTCTATGGCAGCCTTCATCCCTTCCTTCTTCTTCTTATTTGGCACCAGCTCATACATTGGCCTAAGGGAGTATGAAACAATATCTGGGTGGTCCTTAAGGGTATTCAGCCATTTCCTGTAACCCATGGAGTCATTGTGAGAGAGTGAAAACTCCCCCAACCAACCGGTGCCTCCTATCAACGCTGTGTAGTGTTGGTGTAGACCAGAGCTGTACGAGGTGGTGAGATCCTGGTTCTGTAGGACTTTGTTGCAAGACTTTTGGCTAGCAGATAAACTCACCATCCCCAGGCCTACAGAGACACCCAGGGATAAGCAGTTGTGGACCTAGAAGACAGGAGAGGAAATAGGATGGCATTTACAGTCAATGGATAATGTATAACATTTAAATAGTGCCTTTATGCTGAGAGCACTGAATGGTGCATAAGGCACATTCATGCATGGTGGCGAAGACCTGCACACCAAGAAAGATGTGTGTTTTTTTTGGGGGGGGGGGGGTTCCCTTTATATGATAGGACAGTTAAAGATAGACAGGAAAGGGTATTTCCTGAGAGGGGACGATTTGAGCCCTGGGCCGCTGCAGCAAGGACTCGGCCCTGGCATATGGGGTGCCAGCTGTACCAGGTGAACTAAGAACTAACTGGGCGCCCCAAAATTCTACAAATTTGACCACAACTCAAAATCATTGTCAGTCAAGCAGTGTAACATTTTTACCTAAACTCAAAAGACAAACTCACAAAGCTCAAAGACAGCCTCGTCGGTCAAGACAAGAAGTAAATACAGATTTTTGAATAGTTGCTAGGAACTTTAATTGGACAATCATAATTCATTTAAGGCTATAAAAATGGCCTCTAATGATGCAGCTTTTGTTGATGAACGACTATAACTTTTATTCAGCTAAACACAGAATATACTTTTGGTTGTTTTTTTTCTCTTCAAAATAAGATTTATTATAGTTTTTGAAATCTTAATCTAAACATCATTACACATATTTACTTAGAAATGTAGCTTTTGCTGTGGATTGTCTGCTTATACACACCTCATTACACATTGAATATCTAAATAAAGGAAGATTCAAATTTGAATACAGAATGGAAACAAGGGGAAACACAAAACAATAGTAATTCATGGGGTTTGGAAAATAACAACATACAAATGATTTAATGTTTGTTTGCATGTAGAGTGTGAGTATTAATATGCATTGCGGTAAGGGATGTGTGACATGTACCTCATTTGAGGTGAACCCATTCAGTGTGGACAAACAGGTACGTGCAGCTGTGACCCGCCTGAGACGCCCCCCAAGATAAACCTGAAATTATATACAATAAAATGTTAAGACAAAAAAAAGGTGTTTTAGATTTGTTAAACGTAATTAAGGTGTGTGTGAGTTTGTGTGTGTGTATGTGTGTTTTAACCTGGCGGATGTAGTGTGTGCCATAGGTATGTATGAGATCAATGTACTGAGCCCTGGTGGAGTTGTTGTAGAGACTTGGCAGTCTGGCCACATCCTTTCTGAACTCTGAGTTGAGGGGCGGTCTGCTTGACACACGGTAACTAGACACAAAGAGACAGAATAGTTAATTATCTTAACAGAAATTATCTAAATAAACTTGAATGTAAAATCTTCTGTGGAGATGCAGAGATCTTCAAACCCTACCGATAATGGCTGCAGGTGAGTCTGTGAGTGCTGAAGGAGTGGCGGTCCTCTCTGGTCCTCTCTGATGCAAACTTATAGGCAGTGGAGCGTGTTCCTCCCACCTCCAGGCCGACTGACACAAACTTGTCTAAATTTAGGCCAATCTGATCAATAAAAAATAAAAGCTTAGGAGCTTGCTATTCACCCAAAATCACCATTATATATTGTATTAAATATAACCATTTATTCATATAACCATTCATACTTGTTCTGGTAGCCTTAGGGCTGAGTCAACTGTTAGTCGACAAGAAGAGTCTTAGTCTGCCCACTTTTCATTAGTTGGATAGTCACAAATGTCAAACTCTGTTTTGGAGTTGTGCTTTGTCACCAGGACGAAGGCATCAGGGGATTGGTACAACACAGACCTTTACTTTTGTATCACAGGAAGTGTCTTTGCGGTGCTCTGCTACATGAACTAAATGTAGACTTTGAGCTCTAAGTACCGGGGGAGGTTTGTTTACAGTACTAGCATGGGAGCTGGGCCAGAATGAGCACCATCACCAGAGTTAGGCAAAAGGGCATCGAAACCGGGCTCATCAACCTCCCTGTGACCATGGCCAGGACCGAATACTGTTGACATAGTCGGAGGTCAGGTGACCTACAGCCAGTTGATGAACAGAGGCTCTGACCAAGACTATGATTCCATCATTAACACTAATGAAAAACTTTTATGAAAGTGTATCTTATTTAAGCATCAAGATGCTCCAAATCCTAATCATATCTGCCCTTTGATCAGAATTTTTTATTTTATTATTATTTATTTTATTTTTATTTATTTACTGCTAATTCGAGTTACAGTAACAAATTCAGGACAATGGTGGAAATAAAATAATTGAAAGAATCATATGTTAATATGCGTGCATGTCTGCACCTGCCAGTTATAATAATATAAGACTCTGAAATGTTCAGTTCATGTAAGCAATAGCTGTGAGATGTTTCCTACCTTCCAGTCACTACTTTCCTGGGAGGTGTAACTTTCAATCAACGAGCTGTGGACACAGTTTACAAGAAGAATAACCCTTAAGGCTTTTTTCATTTCAGAGGTTATATTGTAGCTAATTTAGAGTCTGTTAACGTAATATTGTGTCTTCCAGTACTGGAAGACAGAATATTAGTAGTGTAGTGTGATCAAAATCTCACTACACTAGTGAATCTCACTACACTAGAGTAGTGTGATCAAAATCTGATCTGTAGACAGTAAATGGTGAGCTGAATGTGAGGAGCCAAATATAGTGTTGAGAGTTGAGCTGTCTAAAATGAAATAATATGTTTTTGCATGATTAACAGATACAACAACATTCAAACTTAACCTCCTTAAAAATCAGTAAGGATTTGCTTTGATAGTTGGTAAAGAATGCCAAGTATTTACTGTTGACACACTGGAATGGCTTATACTTAACATATAAAAATGGCTGATATAACTCAGAGATATAATGCTGTATAACACAATACCTAACAGAGGTGTGTGCACTGCTGTAGATGTCGAGATTGCATCGATTGAACGCACGCCAGTTCACTGCAGAGAGCGGCAGCTGAAAATGAAAGTGGTAACACTGTGGTTAACATGCATCCATAAAGTATGTTCAACTGTCACTGGAGAATTAATTATTTATATATTATTGTTTATGTATTAATTACTTTCTGCAGCTGGTCGCTTTGAAGAGGGTTGGAGCAGAGGGTACAGGTGCCATCTGCGGAGAGATAGGTCCTCACATCAACCATGTAGGCTCCTTTACGCTGCAGGGTGACCACATCAAAGCCCTCCCCCACCAGGTTGTGGCCTGGTACAAAGGGAGCGGACTCACACTGACTGTGGTTCCCAGTCCGACAGGAGAGAACAGTGGAGTGATACAACAGAAAAAGGATGAGATTTAGGTAGAGAAGGGGTGGGGTTGAAAAGGAAAGCATGGCTGGAGTTGAAGAGACACTGAAATATTTCAGAGAAAGAAGAAAGGGAAATGATCAGTGAAGGTCCAAATTATCAGTGTGTTTCTTGTCATTTGTTGTTTTGTAACCAGGTAAGAAAGTTCTATTGTCTATTATGCAGTGGAAAATTGTGCATGAATATGTTTTTGGTGAATGGTCAACTGAACATATCAATTTACATCTTCACTAGGATTAAGTAGGCTTGGTGCTGAATGCCATAAACAGAATAGGGAAGACGGAAAGTATTAAAAGATGGACTAACACATTGTTTGTTTGGGTCTTTTGTTGGAACTTGTTAACAATTGGAAAAATACAGAAGATTTTGTAGCCTTGCAGCACCTGGTTCACTCTTCTCTGACTGCTGCCCCTCTCTCTCATACAGAGCATCAAGCTAAAGAAACAGAAAACATTTCATATCTTTGTACAGTTAGCAATCTGAGCTGATCAGTCGCAAAAACAAGTACTTTTAAATGGACGTACTTTGATGGTGCACTTTTGCCTGCAAAAATTACGTTTTAGCCTCTTTGTGGCTGCAGCGCTTTCTCTCAATACTGGGCCAAATTCAAAAGTGAACATCATGTTGTATGAAAGAAGATTTGAAACTTGCGATTGAGACAACAAACTTATTAGAAAATTGAGCAAATAAATTCAGATGTAGGGTCATTTCCCCATAAGACTCAACATTATCACACTTTTACCTTGAAGCCAATCGAGCTGCCACCTGCAGGCCATCAAACAGAATGCAGGTTTAAAGGGAAATTTTGGTATTTTTCAACTTTGACCTTGTTTTTCGATGTTTTTGTATCAAAGTGACTAATGTAGACAACACATATTTTGGAAATAAAATGTTGCAGGTTCAGATTGACACATTCTGCCCATGAAACATAAGACTGAAACATGCTTATGAATATTATATTTAATTCGTGACCATAGATCATCCTAAATATTACACACATTTAAGTATATTATTTGTACCCTTACTATAAAGTACTCAGTGACAATAACAATTGCTGATGCCAGGAACAGGCATAACACAGTCTGCAAGAATAACTACAACAGAAACAAGCAAAAAAATGCAGCACAAGAAAGTAAGACTGTGTCCTTGGTAATAAATCGTTATCACAAATCATTAAATCACAAAGTCTTTATCTTGGAAATGTTTAGTATACAAGAGAAACTTGGAGCTACTGTCTAATACGGACCATTTTATGACACGGCAAGATGAAACAGTGTAAAACATTAACAAGCACTAATATAGCATTTGCATTACTTGCTCAACCAGACTTCACTGGGTCACTTACAAAACAAATACTGCAGTTTTAAAGGTCCAGTGTGTACAATTTAGTGCCAACTAGCAGTGTAGTTGCAGATAAGTTGCCAGTATTGTCTGGTTGTTTGTTTCTGCAGTAGCCCAGAATGGACCGATCAAAAAAAAATTTCTTAAGTTTCATCATGACCATTGTAGATTCTCCTGCTCACTTCACAGCCTGTTCTCATTCTCAGGTCGACAAATGCAGACGCCGGTGGTGTTCAGTTAGTTGCTAATTGATGTGTGACCAAATTAGCAGGTTTCCAGTTGCATACAATTTTATTTCATGTATTTGCTCAACCTCCTTTGTTCACTCCTCTAATTCGTCCATTGTGTTGTAAATGTGTTAAAAAAATACTTTTTTCCTTATTTACATCAAAATAAGAAGCTGTTTTTTTAATGAGAGAAAATTCAAGGTTGTGGAAAAAAAACATTATTTAAGATGAAATCATCTTATTGATCTTTTATCAATTAATGTATGAAGTAACTGTAAATTAACATTCCTTAACTGATAATGTATAACTTAAGTATATGATTTGTTACCCTTATTATAAAGTGTTCTTTGCATTACAGTTGCCACAATAGTGGAAATAATTTACACATTTCACCCAGAATTAGTTTTTGATCACTTGAATGTTGTTGAAAATATATCACAATGAAAATTAATTCTCCTTCCTTTAGAACCAGATTGTATCATTCTGTTAACATCCTGAACCACCACATCACTGACTTTACTTCTTATCTCTGATTGCTTTGATTCATTTTTTTTTAATCAGACAGCCTCAGACTGATTTACAGACAGGATGTCTTCAGGTATAAGTTATTAAATTCAACTTAATATAAATCACACTGTATAAACATGTATACTATCTGCATGATCCTGCCTTAAAAGGAGAAAAGTACAACACAAACTGGTGTAAACACCTTGGAATTACATAATTTTATTTTTCAAAACATGTTTATTTTGCAAATCTAAAAGATGTGTTTGACCACTTTGTTTCTTTGTTTCAAAAGCTTGAACTGTACCTGCTGCTGTTTATTACAGAAGTAAGTCAGATTGAAAAGTTCTTTACAGGGTTCAACAACACTGTTAAAGAAAAAAGGACAAAGAAATTATCTGAACTTCTGATTGTAGCATATCCACATGATCCTAACATAGCATGTAGAGCTATAAACTGCAAATGTCTAGTGAAGTCTCTTCTGTGAGAATTGTTGAATTGGTCCAGCATCAGAGTCCAAATCATGCTGTCTGTCTACTCTAAAACATTTAATATAAATGTGCAGTTTGAGCTATTAAAGACAGTTGATGGTATCTGTATCTTTTAAAATTAAAAAAAAAAATGTACCTGTTCCAGATGCCAAAAATGATGATGTTGCTTCTTCGCTTCTAGTCAGGAAAATCATGAAAACCAGCAAGAGAAAGAGCCTTTGTTCTTTGATCAGAGATAAGTGGAGGATGGAGCTTCTTATCTTCTATCTTAAAGGAACTTATGTCTGAGAAAGAGGAAAGTTGAAAAAGGAGATAAGGGTAATAAAAAAAAAAGAAAACTTAAAAAAAAATATATATATACACATTAGGCCTTTATCTTAGCATTTTGTTCTTTTCCATGAAGAAAATTAAGTGAAATTGTTTTTTCAAAGTTTAGATTTTGAAGACCTGCACACAAGTTATATTCACAGAGCCTTCACTGTCTAAAAAACAGCTTGGTCCTGTACTGGAAAAGTTAAAGCAATCGAAGGACTAATAGAACAATGAGATGAAAACACTGAATTTGTCAAAAAGAAGCATAATGAGTATATATGATGAGACTATCAGGAAAATGTATGTCTGATGCAATATTAAATACAGGAAATAATCTGCTCAAAATGTATCCAAATCGCTCGTTTTACACAAACTTCCTGCAGTTATTGTGTTCACTATCTGGGTTCATGGTACAGTTTTATCAGTTGTTCTGTGCTGTTCTATGTTCTAATGTTATATTTTAGAATTACAATCAGCTGAAAACCAAGAAACCAGAAACTGATAATGCTGCAATAAACAGCATGTAATCAAACCTGCAAAACTGCAAAAAGTTCCCCCCCTACAATATTCATCAATCATTAACAATGATATGATACAATCAGCTGAAAACCAAACAAAATGATGATTTCTCTTTAATTTGAATTTACCCAATATGTATGTGGTCACAGAAGAATTGATTGAACCTTATGTAAAATGTAAAGAAAACTAAATATTGTGATGTCTTAACAGTAGGAGGATATTTGTATGAACTCCAAACCCCCCCAAAAAAGATAATTTCTCTGATGAATCACAAAAGCATGCATTTCTCACTATGGAGTTGGTTTGTAACGCTCACACCTGTCTCCAGTCAGATGAGAGTCGCAAGTCAGAGTGTACTCAACCTCAAAGCCACCTTTCTTGGCCGGACAGGTGAATCTGTGTTTTCCCTGGCTCAGGTGCCTCACACATGATCCCAGACGGTCGTCATAAGTCACGTCCTTGTCCCAGACTTCAGTCTTCAAATCCAAATGTGTGTCCACCTTCATAAAAAGTATTTATAAATATGACAACATTGAAAATATTATTATCATTTAAATGTTGAGTTCTATAAGTAAAAATAACATATAGTTCATGACATGTTTGTACACACAGATATGATCTTGTACTTTCTCAGATCTATTAATATATCTAGAAGGACAAAATGTATCAGTGGATAGTAGCACTCAGGGGATATATAAAATGAATACAGTTAATAGCTTCCTCCATGTTGGACTCTCCCGTTCTCTCCCTTCCCTCAGCAGTCAGCACTGTTAGGACCATGGATGTATTAAGGATAACTAGATACTGATTTGATAGTGCCCCATCCATTCGTATGAAAGTCGCTCTCATTTCCGGCTGATTTCCTGTTGGCTCCTCGCACATGTGAATGGGATAGAATAATTTTATAGTAGACTTTATTGTAGACTTTCCAAATGGAATAATTTTGGGGTGCACTCTTTTATAACTTTTTGGGCTCTAGTGTACAGCATAAGAAGTATATCATACCTTAACTTTCTTTCAGGATGAAAAATATTATTAACGGTTTAACAGGGCATCTGT